TGCTAGGGGGAAAGGAAAATGTGTAGTAATACAAGGACAGACTTTTAGGATACAAAAAGAAGGAAAAGGCTTAAGATGAGGCTTCAACAAGGTGCTATAACTTTTCAACTTACATCTTTAGGAGAGAGAAAACCAACTACAAAGCCATAAGAAATACAGATCATTACCTAGAAGTATTTGATTTTAGATACATTCCTGTTTGCAGAAATGTTTGCTATTTTGTTAATCAAGAGAGCCAAAACTTAGTTTTGAGTCTTAGTTTTTTAACAGTATTGTTTATAATACCAACAAAATCCTCAAAAGTTTGACAAAAGCATATTGTTCTAATGGCAAAACAATGATGCTAGCATAACTCTCAAGAGACTACTTTGGGAGAATTTGAGACATCCATTGCTACTTCTGCCTTAATTCATAATCCCATATGGTGAAATGAAGTTATATCTTATGCTATAAAAAAAGGAAAATTAGATACTATTTCTAAACAAAAGACAGAAAGAACACCTTCAACACTGTTTTTGTAAGAAAGTCTAAAAATTGCCCAAGAATTACAAACAAGTTTCTTAATGAGGTAGCTCTACAGTAATAATAGGCATTATACCTTTTTTCTTTTTGTGGTGATCTTGATTGAACCCAGGGACTCATTCACATTAGGCAACCACTATAAGTATATTGCAGCCATTTTGTTGTTTTGTTTTGTTTTAATACAGGATCTTGCTACGTTGCCCAAGCTTCACCTCAAACCTCAGCCCCCTGAGTAGCTGGCATTCGAGGCACGCACACCATGCCTAACAAGCATTTATACTTTCATTTAAATTGTAACCATCATGTTAATTATTTGGATGCTGTGGCTAAGAAAACTGTGCAAAATTAAGCAAATTTTGCCTGAAAGACACAATTTAAAATGTTTAAAAAGAAATACAGAAACTAAAACGTGGTAAAAACTTAGCACTTTTTTTTTTTTAAAAAAGACAGGATCTCACTATGTAGTTCAGGCTGGCATTGAACTTACTATATAGCCCAGTCTGGCCTCAAATTCATGGTGATCCTTCTGCCTCTGCCTCCCAAGTGCTGGGATTATAGGCCTATGCTACCATGCTTGGCAACTATTTCTAAGTATTTCAAAGTGTATTCCTAAGTGTGTGCAAAGCAATCATAAATGAGGATCAGAAGCCTTTATAAAGATTGAGCACAGTTACTTGCAGCCAGCTGTACTATAGATTCTGCTGAAATATACACACAGATATTGTCAAGGAGCATTACATTGTAGCTGTCAAACTGCTGGGGGGGAGGGTTGTTTTAAGGGAGAAATCTAGGGTCCAGGAGGCCACTCACTGTGACTGCATATATTACGACTGCTCTGGTCCTCAATTATATCATCCATAAAAATCAAAGAAGGCTGACTAGATCTCTCAACATGCAGCTTCAAAACCCCCATACTGTCTCATCCCATTATGCTTCTGCCATGTTACGGTGCAGCAAGAATACTCATAGATGCCAAGCAGATGCTAGCCTCATGCTCTTGACTTCTCAGCCTCTAGAACCATAAGCCAAATAAATCTCTATTCTTTATAAATTAAAAAACAAGAACAAGAAAATTTCTCATCTGAAATTTCTTTATAGTGATTGCTGTTGGAAACTTCATTCCCATCACCTTAATGTCAGGGGCTACGGATAAAACAGGAAGCTCTTTCAGGTTGCCTGATCATCTAAATCAAAGGCCAGAATTCTCTCTGAAACCATATGACTTTGTTTACCTTGTTTCATGCCTTTAGTTTCTTCTCATGCCTAGCCACTTTTTTATAGACGAACTGAGCCAGAGAGGGCAATTGGCCTATGTACTAGAGCTAGAAAATTACAAAGCCAGGACTAGAGTTCAAGTGGACTATTCATTAAATACAGTGTTCCTTCCCTTAAATGATACCATCCACATGTCTCAGCCAAGAAACTCCAAATCACAACACTATGAGATGGCTGGGTGTGTGTGTTGGGGGGGGGGCTCTGTTTAAATAATAGTAAATATGTTATTTGATTACAAAAATGTAAATATAAATGTAATAGCAAATGTTAATGCCTAAAAAGACTAACTTAGTGAGTGCACAGCAGGCTTTCAGTCAACATTTCAATAAGCTCTACTCAAGGCCTTAAAGGAAGCTTGTAGACTAAGGACAGGAAGGGGCAGAATACTTTGGATGACATTTGGAAGATAAATACAATTTTGGCAGAAAATGATTAAAACTTACCAATTCAAGGAAATTTAAGGATATAAGGTATAGAAAGATAGTATAGTTTGGCTTAGAGTTAACTGTAACTTAAGTAAATGTAATGCCATATAACTGATATTATACATATTTTCATTAGGTTCTAGTGACAATTCAGAGAAAAATGTTGGGTTGCACCGTCATAAGATTAATAAAGCATCACTACAATAAGCCACTGACTCTAATTTTGACATTTGTGCTCTGTCTCGGTAATAACGAAAGTACTAAAACAACTCAGGTTCTTTGTTCCTGTTACCAGGAGCGGTTGGGAAGATTCAAGGAACCAATGGAATGTGAATTTTATGACACCATAATTATCTTCACAGAGGGACACTCAGCATGCAGAGATTTAAAAGGAAATCTTTAAAAATGGAAGACTAAAAGAATAAAAGTGTATTGCAAGATTGATTTCTGGTCCTATAAGTAAGAATATTTCCTATGAGGAACTGATACATGTAAGTTAATTGGCCTTCAGCAAAGAATAAATGGCTTCTCTTTCTAGCTAACGAGGTTTCATTAAATCTACTAATTGGGAGAAATGGAAGCAGCACAGGAACTAAATCCAAGAGCAAATTTTCAGTTCTTCTGAGAGGTATAATCATTTTCCTCATTTTTATACTACAGAACTTTGGCAAGTAATAAAAACAAGCCTAGGGCCCATATTAAAAAAATAAACAGGATATCATACACTAAACAAAAACTCAAAAACCAATTAAAATAAGAATCAGAAATATATTTATATTGAAAAAATGATAAACAAGTATCCTGAGATTCTCAACTATAAAAAGAACACAGTATCAATCTGCAAGGTTGCAATGATTAAATAACACACATAAAATTCTTAAAAGAGTACCTTGTACATAATTGCTTAACAAATGACAACTATTATTACAAGGATGAAAGATACCTTTTCTAATAAGAGCTTTAAAATTGGACTCACCATTACCTCCCTGCTTCAACTTCAGCTTAAGCACACAACTATGATCACAGTCAATCACATAGCTTTTGACTAGATCATTGACTAGATCTGCTAAGTAAGTGAAAAATAGTAGCATTTGGAAACCATGGTGAAGTGAAGAGAAAAAGTTACCTGAGAAGGCATGGCTAGCAAAAACATTTTGACATTCTTAAACAACATTCACAAGACAAAGGATCATAGAATGCAATAATAAGAAGTAAAGGCAACTGAAGTCTTAAAATTAAAGGAAATTCTGTGATATAAGCCCCAATGAAAGGTAAGATATATTTTATCTAATTTGAAAACAATTCAAGACTTACCACCTTTCACCTACTAATTTAGCCAGTGTACTTATTTTTGTCTCAGCCTTATTTCTAGGAGGATCTTTAATTTCTTTTTCACTGTTTTATGAAGGATTTAAATCCTTTTTGCTCTCAGTATGAAATTTATTTTTGAAGAGTTACAGTTTTATTCTTTGGAGTCAGAGACCACTTTCTCTGTTTATCTAATCCTAGAAATCAGAGGCGCTGGGGATGTAGCTCAGTGATAGAGTGCTTGCCTAATATGTGCAAGGCCCTCGGTTCAGTCCCCAGCACTACACACACACACATGGAAAGCTACTTTAATCATCTTGGAAGCATATTCATGGAAAGATACTCGTGGCTATGGCTATACCTTCATATAAGAAAAGGTAATGCATAAAGAAGAATCTATGGGGGAAGGTGAAAGTTGATGAAAAATCCTCATGCAATGGGAAAGCTAAATGTAGAAGAGAAGCACAGATAAAGGGTAGTGGATGAAAATGTAATTATTATGGCTTTTTCTCTCCTCACTATAATGGAAGTGCTCACTGTGACTAAGCAATCTTTTAATAGATGTTCTGGAAGCTTCCAGGTGGCTTCTTAGGAAGTTAATCTATTTATTCCAAAGTTTAGCATTTGCTGTCTTTCAGACATTCTAAGAGTCAGAAATTAAGAAAAAAACCTTTTTTTAAAGCTTTGATTTTATGCCTTTGTCCACTCTTTTGATACTATTCTTCTTGTCTTTATAAATAACCCAAATACATCCTTTTCCAAACTACATATTGATCTTAGCAATAAAATTAAGTAACTCTCTTTGAAGCTGTACATAAAAATATGCCTATGGGACAGGTTCTTGAAACCAGACAAACATAACAGTTTCTCCATCCTAGAAGCACATTTAAGGCTCAAAAAACAAAATTAATGCCCAAACAGCCTGTGAGGCACCTAGACATGGAAACATTTCCTAGCCTAGTCAGACTACGTATCATATAAAATATGGTTTAAGATTTTAATGGACCATCCATTTAGAAAGGATTCTAAACCTTTTAAAACACACACCACCACCAACACTGTCACGGGTCTTAGATCATACCCACAATGGCTTCTTTGTCAAGTAAGCAAGGAAGTTGTGTCATTTTGGTTGCTTGGAAATTCCTATATGGTCCACCAAACTGCACAGATCTTGGGTCCCTATTAAAGGCTGTAGATGTCCACAAAATGCTATCTCTGTTACAGAGAAAGAAGGGGCTGCTGCACTTGCTAGAATGTCTGGTTTTAGTTCAGATGCTTCACGTTTGGTTTCAACCAAGCTTCCACTATGCCCAATGCCAAACCTGATGCTTTAGCAAGGGGGAAATTGCTAGATCCCAGGAACACACCAGATCTCTGAGATACAGAAGCATGCTTCAATTGGACTAATCTTGGTTACCTTTGTTAGCACCAATCTCTAATCATTTAGTTCCTCACAGAATAAATTATAGTTTCTCTCTGAGAAGAGGACCTGGGTACTAAGGAATTAAAATGGAAATTAAAGTAGAAATTCCAAGGTCAAAGCAGCATCTGAGGCCAGTACAAAAAAATAGTGGAGGAATTCAATGAGCAGCAACTCTGGGATACTTTAGTTTCTTCAGTTCTGGTCCAGCCTCATGGTCCCACCTGTACCTCAATCATTGGCACCACCTCTTCAATCCACAGCAAGTCCAGGGGAGCTGAGGCTCGAGTTTGTCGGTGGTGAATTCAGTGGGGCCGCAGAAGGTACAGGATAATGGCCAGTAGCACCACTAGGATACAGGCAAAAAATAGGTAATGGTTGTAGACAAAGGAGAGATGGAACCAGTTACCATGGACTTGTCGGGCGCCTTCCTGTCGAAGATCCCTGGATGATAAGAATTGGGTTTTATAGAGAATCGCTCCCAATGTCAACTGAACTTCTCGGTCATACACCAGCTGGGCTGTCCGCAGGTTTGGGTAGTCATAGGGAAAGTGGAATCCTTCATGTAGGATTTGGTACATCCAAGCCGACTTAAAACATTGATATTTGAGTCGATGCTCATCTGCATGTGAAGAAAAGAGGCCATTCTTGAATCTCTGAGTTAGTACTGACCAAGCCATGCCACAGTAATCCTGAGCAGCCTTGGCAAATGTTGGCCCATGGTAACGGCCACCTATGTGCAACACATCCTCTTTACAGTAAAAGAACTCTGAGAAGACATAGAATTTGCTGTTTTTAAAGTCAATTGGTGATTGGTAAATGCCATTCAGTGAAGCCTGGCTGGTGTTGGAGCGAGCAAGCAGAGGGCTCAGCATCAGCCCACAAGTTGCCTAGTCTCCCTTTCCTCGGATATGTAGGACCTGGCTGTTTCTCTCCATCACATCTGTCAGTCCCACAGGCAGGCAGGGGTCCAGAAATGGATTGTCAGGACTCAAGCCTGTCTTCTGGCCCAGTACTCTGTTTTTGTTAAATGTTTCATTCAGCACAAGATCTTCATAGCGCTGCCAGGCAAAGTTGCCTCCAAAACCCAGAAAGGTTGTGACATAAACCCTGTACACATGTTCAGTGTGTTGTACATCACAGCCCAGGTTGAACTCAGCCAGTAGGGTCTTGGCAGCTTCTTCCTGTTCTGGAGGAAGGGCAGAGGTTGAGGTAGGAACTTCATAAGCAATTTGGAGAGAGGCTCCTCCCTTATCCAGTATCCCTATTGTCCTTCAGCGTCCTATGGCTGATTCCTCGGAACTCTCAGCATCTGATTCATCCTCTTGGTCGAATCTTCCCAAAACAAAGTTGATACCAATCCATGCATAAACCCCTTCTTGCTTCCCGGAGATCACTTCTGCCTGTGACTGAGAAAAGAGGAAGTCAAACTCCAACGGTAAATCTTTCACTAAGTCAGCCAAGAGAGCCAACTGCTTCCTCTCAGGAAGAAGCCTCATGCCTGCAATACAGAGGATATAAAGGCGCATCTCCTTGTGTTTCTTTACAGGTACATGAGCAGCAGCAAAGCTCAGAAGAGGACGAAGGTAATCACTGGGATGTTCTGGAGTATCTGCCATTGCAGAGATTCCTGGTTTGATTTTTTTAACCACAGGTTGGCTGTTGTGGTCTCTCATCTGTTTGATGTCCAGCAAGTCGTGGGGGTTACCATTATGTCTTGGCCAGAAATAAACAAAAATCCTGGAGCCACTGCTACCACAGTCTACCATGAGTCCATAATTCAAATTTGGGTCTTCAGTGTCAGTAGTTTCAAGCTCCCCTACCCAAGCCAAATACCATCAAAAACATCAAGGTTTTGAGTCTCAGCTCTATCACATTCAGCAAGTTTCTTAACTTCTCTCAGACAGTTTCTTCATCTTTTGTATAGCCTATCGCTTGGTAATGAAGCACCCCAATGTCGAAAGTCCACAATTAACATAAGTAAAAGGAGACAGGATATGAAGAATACTCCCAGGAATGCCACCCATTGACGGAGAAATGGGCTTACTGTGGGAACAGTGAAGTACCAGGAGGCTGGGCAGAGGTAAAAAAAACTGATCCTAGCCATGGGTTCCCTTCAGTAGTCTCAATGTTTGTCACCTCCTTTTCCTTTTGCCCGGAGAAGGTGGCCTCCCTGTCCCAGGCATCTCCTAAATCTGCAACGGGATTGAGCGGCTACCAGTCCCTCAGTCCCGCTCGGCTGGGTCCAAAGCTGTCCCTCACAAATTTATTTCAACATAACTATGCTTATAAACCCAAATCTTTAACGGCCATATCCTTTTATGGTAAAAGCAACCACTACAATTTCTTTCACTTTAAGCAGCTTATTGCTTTGTATCTTCTTTTGAAACTTTCTGTTCCATCATTAGCCATACAAGAAATACATGTCTGCTGCAGCCTACATGTCACTCTACAAAAGAGAATGCATAGGGCCAAATGCATCAGAAGTTCCTAGGGTCCACTGCCACGTGGCTTTTTTCTTCCATGCATTTGGCAACTATAATATAGCATAGCAATGTTACTTAGTTAACTTAAATGTCCTTTAACTTGGGTGTGAACACTTGTTTTCGAATTCCTACAGTGGAGGCGAATTTGGTGTCTGCAGAGCTCTAGGATGTAGCTGAGGACTGCACACTGCAAGGACTCCCAGACAAATTCCACACCTGAGCCTGAAATTTCTATCAGTTTTTATATAAACTATTCTAACTACTTATTAATGCATATAACTTGGCAGTTATTTTCGGGGCAAAATACAAGCAGTTTGGGGGTGGATAATTCCTTCATACTAAAATATTATTTAAAAAAATCTTCAGAATCAAGGACCAAGGATTTAGCTTAGTGGTTCTGCCGCCAGCCTCGCAAGCAAAAGGTCCAGAGTTCGATCCCTGGTACCAAAAACAAAAATCTTTAGAATCAAACATTTATGTAAATATTCTTTTTGTTTCCCATTTAGTTTATTGGTATACTTTAGGTATACAATACAGTTACATTCATTATTAGGATCTTGTACCTTTACATGATGTATCTTGGTTCTTATTTTCCCCCTTCCCCTGCCCTCCCTTCACCCCCTCCACCCTTCCTTATTTACAAAGACTTTGTTTCCACTTTTTTCCTTTTCTCATATTTTTTCTTTTCCCTTCTTTCCTTTCCCCTACCCCTCCCACGTCCCCTATTCCTTTAGACATTTTCTTCCTATTTCACAATATCAATTATACATCTTGATTCTTATTTACATTTTTAGTTTTTCACACCAGAGAAACTATTCTGTATTTACACACATGGGTTCTATTTATTTCATTTAAGAGTATCGCCTCAATGTGCATCCACTTAGCTATAAATGTCTCTAGTTTTTCATTCTTTATAGCTGAGTAGTACTCCATTTTATTTAAAAACCACATCTTCTTTATCTAGTCTCCAGTTGATGGGCAACTGGGCTGCTTTGAAGTTTTAGCTATTACAAACTGTTCCGCTGTAAACATGGGTGTGCATATATCACTGTGGTATGATTCTTTTAATTCTTTGGGGAAGATACCAAGCAGGGGAATAGCTGGGTCAAGTGGGACTTCCAGTCCTAGTTCTTTGAGGTATCTCCATATTGATTTCCACAGTGGTTGCACCAGCCTGCACTCCTACCAACAATGAAGAAGGGTTCCTTTCTCCTCACAACCCTGCCAGCACTTGTTATTGGTTGATTTCATGATAGCAGCCATTCTTTCTGGGGTGAGGTGGAATCTCAGTGTTGTTTTCATCTGCATCTCTCGAATGACCAGTGATGTTGAAGCTTTTTCATATATTTATTTGCTGCTTTTACTTCTTTGTCTGAGAAGTGTCTGTTCATTTCAGATGCCCATTTTTGAACTGGGTCTTTATATTTAGGGGGCCTGATTTTTTTGAGTTCTTTATATATTTTAGATAGTAGACCTTTGTCTGTGGAACAGCTGGTAAAATTTTTTTCCCACATTGTAGGTTGTCTCTTAACTCTGTTGGTTTCTCTTGCAGTGCCGAAGTTTTTTAATCAGATGAGATCCCAATTGTTGATTCTTTGTGCTAGTACCCAGGCTGCTGAGAATTTGTTCATAAAGTCCTTGCCTATGCCAATGTCATTGAGAGTTGTACCTAACTTTTCTTCCAGATAGTTTAGTGTTCCTGTTTTAATATTTAGATCTTTAATCCACTTAGATTTTAGTTTAGTGCATGGTGAAAGATAGTGGTCTAATTTTAATCTTTGGGAAGTTGAAATCTAGTTTTTCCAGCAACATTTATTAAAGAGACTATCTTTCCTCCAGTGAGGATGTTTGGCTCCTTTGTCAAAGATGAGGTAGTGGAGTATGTCTGGAGTTGTTTCTGCATCTTCTAATCTACTCCACTGATCCTCAGGTCTGTTTCTTTGCCAGTACCATGCTGTTTTTAATCACAGTGGCTTTGTAGTACAGTTTCAAGTTGGGGATTGTGATACCCCCTGCCATGACTCTGTTGCCTAGAATTTCTTTTGCTATTCTAGGTCTCTTCTGGTTCCAAATGAACTTTTGTATTGTTTTCTCTACTTCTGTGAAATATGCTGCTGGGATTTCAGTCAGGATTGCATTGAATCTGTATAGCAGTTTTGGAAGTATGGCCATTTTCACTATATTGGTTCTTCCTACCTAGGAACATGGGATGTCTTTCCATTTTCTTATATTCTCTTCAATCTCTTTTTTCAGAGTGCTGTAGTTCTCAATATAGAAGTCTTTTGCTTCCTTAGTTAGATTGACTCCTAAATATTTAATTTTTGGATGCTATTGTGAAAGGATTTGTTTCCCTAATTTCTCTTTCAGTGAGTCTGTTATTTGTGTACAAGAAGGCTATTGATTTTTGAGTGTTGACCTTGTATCCAGTTACTCTACTGAATCTGTCAATTAAGTCTAGAAGTCTTTTGGCGAAGTTTTTTGGGTCTTCTATGTAGAGTATCATATCATCAGCAAATAATGACAGTTTCTCTTCTTCTTTTCCTATCTTTATTCCTTTTATTTTTTTTCTCTTGTCTACCTGCTGTGGCTAATGTTTCCAAAACTATATTGAATAGGAGTGGTGATAGTGGACATCCTTGTCTTGTTCCTGATTTTAGTGAAGGTTTTCAGTTTTTGACCACTCAGTATGATGTTGGCTGCTGGTTTTTCATAGATAGCCATTATCAAGTTGAGATAAAGACCATTTATTCCAATTTTCTGCAGGGTTTTTATCATAAATGCCTGTTGGATTTTTGCCTAAGGCTTTTTCTGCATCTATTGAGATGATTATATGGTCTTTCTCCTTGACTCTGTTAATATCGTGTATTACATTTATTGATTTATCTATGTTGAACCATCCTTGCATCCCTGGGATAAATCCGACTTGGTCAGGGTGTATGATCTTCTTGATGAGCCTCTGTATTCTGTTTGCCAGTATCTTACTGAGGATTTTTGCATCTGTGTTCATTAGGAAGATTGGCCTGTAGTTCTCCTTTTTGGTTGGGTCTTTCCCTGGTTTGGGAATCAAACTAATACTTGCTTCCAGGAATGAATTTGGAAGTATTGCTTCCCTTTCAATTTCATTGAAAAGTTTAAAGAGTATTAGCAATAGTTCTTCTCTAAATGTTTTGTAGAAATCAGCAGTGAAGCCAATCAGGACCTGGGCTTTTCTTTCTTGGTAGATTTTTAATTATGTTTTCAATTTCATTGATTGTAATTGAGGTGTTTAGGATTTTTATATCTTCATTCAACTTTGGTAATTCATTTGTATCTAGAAGTCTGTCCATTTCTTCTGTGTTTTCCATTTCATTAGAGTACAGGTTCTCGAAGTACTTATTGATGATCCTCTGGATTTCTGCTGGATCTGTTGTGCCTTCACCTTTTTCATTCCTTATTGCATGGATTTGAGCCTTTTCTTTCCTTTTTTTGATAAGATTGGCTAAGGGTTTATCAATTTTATTTATTCTTTGTTTTGTTTTGTTTTGTTTTTTTGAGACAAGGTCTCATTTTGTGTTCAGGCTGGTCATGAACTCACTTTGTAGCCCAGGCTGGCCTTGAACTCGTGGTGATCCTCCTGCCTCTGCCTCCCTAGTGCTAGGATTACAGGTATGTGCCACCATGCGCAGCTTTTATTGATTCTTTTGAAAAACAAACTCTTTGATTTGTTGATTTTTTGTATCCTTTTCTTAGACTCCATTGCATTGATTTCTGCTCTGATATTTATAATTTCCTCCCTTGTACAAGCTTTTTTGGGTTTGTGTTGCTCTTCTTCATCTAGGAGCTTAAGATTCAGCATTAGGTTGTTCATTTGAGCTCACTCTGTTTTCCTAGTGTGGGCATTCACTGCTATGAATTTCCCTTGTAAGACTGCTTTCACTGTGTCCCATAGATTCCTGTATGTTGTATCAACATTATCTTTTATTTGTAAAAACTGTCTAATTTCTTCTTTAATTTCCTCTGTGACTCATTAGTTGTTCTGGAGAGTGTTATTCAATTTCCGTTTGTGAAGTTCTTGCAGTTTCTTATGCTATTGATCTCCAGTTTAATTGCACTATGGTCTGATAATATATATGGGATAACTTCAATTCCTTTGCATGTACTTAAACATGTTCTATGAGCTAGTATGTGTTCTATCTTGGAGAATGAGCCATGTGCGGTGGAAAAGAATGTATATTCTGATTTTGTGGGGGGTGGAACACTGTGTAGATGTCTATTAAGTCCATTTGTTCAAAAGCTTGGCTCAGTTCTAGTATTTCATTCTTGATTTCTTGTCTAGATAATCTATTTGTGACAGTGGGGTATTGAGGTCCCCCACTACAACTGTATTAGTGCTTATTTTGTTTTTCATGTCCATTAATATTTGTTTTGTATAGTTGGGGGCATTCGTATTTGGTGCATATGTATTTATGACTGTCATCTCTTCCTCTTGGATTGTTCCCTTCACAAGGATGTAATGACCTTCTTTGTCTCTCTTAATTAGTTTTGGTTTGAAATTTGCTTTGTCTGCAAATAATATAGCTACCCCTGCTTTTTTCTGGGTTCCTGTTGCATGGAAAATTGTTTTCCATCCTTTTACTTTCAGTCTATGAGCTTCTTTTTTAACTAGGTGTGTTTCTTGTATACAGCATATTGTTGGATTTTGCTTCTTAATCCATTCTGCCAGT